CTTAGGAAGCAGGGGCCCCACTCCAGGGTGCAGAGAACACACTCCAGCGTGCAGGAACGGAACTTTTTGGCAGAACTAGTTATTCGGTAACATCCAAAAAGATCAGAGAGGCACGCTTGGCAGCGTGGGGAGGGTTCTGCTTGCTTTGGAAATTTCCACAAAAGGAGGGGTCCAGACTTAGGAGTGTCGAATAGATGAGGCTGGGTGGGTTCCTAATGGACAGGAGCTGGGAAGGACTTCAGTGACCTGGGGTGACTATACTGAAGACAGAGAGGGGTTGTTGGAGAGGGGTGGCCTTCACTGGTGGCTTTTGGAGGAGCTACCAGTCAGGCTCCTCAGAAAGATGGAGCATGGCTGTGCTTGCAAAAATCCTTATTTTACTTCCTCCATGTGAAACTGGGGAAAAAAAAAAAAAAGAATAGAAAATCCTGATTTTCCTTTCATAGTAGTCAAAACTTCCAAAATAGCTGTTTTTTTTTTAAGTGCTGTTCCTTTAATAATAAAATTATATGTATAGGGATATTTAAATGTGAAATTTAGAAGCTCTAGCATCTAAAATGTTTGCAGCCACAGTGTTCAATGTCCATAGCCTTGCAACCATTCTCCCAAGGCTCAGCCCACAGCTTGCTCTCCCACCCACTCTGAAGCTGCTTCCCTCCTTCCTCCAGGCCAGGGAAGCTTGGTGGAATTCCTGCATAAAATAGCAGAGGCTAAGGATGAACTAAACAGGAAGAAGCAAATCAGGAATAGAAGGTGAGGTAGCAGCGGGTAAGGCCCCTGTCCCAGTCTCCAAGGAGCTCAACGGTTCTGGGAACCCAGGTGGAGGGTAGATTTCATTGCCCTGGGGCTGATAGGGTGATGGATTTACCCAGTTTTAGACCTGCAAGCAAGTCCCGCATCTCGGGAATACTCCCCCACTCCTGCAGGTTAATGAGGAGGCTTTGGCTGTTGGACCTCCCAGCGGCTCTGGTGTCTTCCCTCCTCATCTCATCCCTTGCTTTCACTTGCCACCCAACAAGGCTTTGAAACAATCTAGTACCTACTCTAAAACAATGATAATGAAACAAACAACAACAACCTATCTCTGCCTCATCTCTCCACCCTGCTGCTTTTCATAATCATTTGGAAATTTTAAAAATTGACCAAGTGCCTTGGTGCCACCTGTGGTAGTGAGTTCTGGCTGGCTTTCCAGGAGTGTTATTCCTGTGCATCGGATGGAGAGCCAAGCCCTAGGGGTAAGGGTGTCAGAGGAAGCAGGAGCTGTCTAGTCCTGGGGTTGTCCCTCAGCGCTTCCTGCTGGTAGCCATAGCAGGGCTGCTTGCTCGAGACTGGCAGGGGCAGGGTCCCACAGGTCCTAAACAGAGCCTCTTGAGGAGTGAGTTTCTGTCCCAAGGGACTTCACAGCCTGCCTCCAAGGGCCCTGATTTTGGGGCAGCATGGAGTGTGTGTGTGGGGGGGGATACAGCCAAAGGCATGGGTCCTCTACTGTGGCCTGAGGACCTCAGGGTAAACCCTGCCTGTCTGTTTCCAGCCTGCCTGGGCCTGTTTCTAGACTGTAGCTCCCCAGCCATCCTAGGTTTCCCAATTGTCACCTCCGTAAGAGAAATTAACAGTTTTGCCAGCCCCGTATAAACAGGAAAGCAAGCTGTTAAGGGAACCTCCTGCCCTGCTGCCAAGCCCAAGCCCCATTTCCTCCCCTCCCCAGCCTGTCAATTGTGAGAAAGGCCCTCTCTGGGCGCTGGCTGGGCTCCCTTGTAGTTGCTTGAATGCAAGTGTGTGTGGGGTGCTGACAGCTGGGTGTGCAGCTGGTTGGCTTCATCTATTTTTGCAGGGGGTGGGGAGCGGGGGAATGGCTGCTGATTAAACCAGGAACAAAGCAATACTACAGTCGTGGCTGTGCACACCAGCGCTGTTGAGCCACAGAGAACAATTAATTGCCATGTTGGGATGTGTGCATGGGGTCAGGAAGGCCATTGGCAAATGTAAGAATGCAGGGAAATGTCAAACAAGTCATGTGTGCTCATTAGAAACCTGCTTCCCACAGGTTCCCAAGACCTCCGTGGTGACAGAGGCCTGGTCACCTCCTGTGGCTCAACAGCCTTCCCGACTAGGGTGGCCTGGCATGCTGATGAGCTGCAGATGGGTCCCACATTGCCAACAAGGCAGGGAGCCCCTCAGCTTTGGGGTGGCAGGTACAACCATTCACTGGAGGCTATTGTGCAAAAGATGCTCTGTTTCCTCACAGGTTGCAATATGAAAAAAAGGGGCTGGCCCGGCCAAACATAGCTGTGGTCTCTGTCCAGGTATCATACAGGCCAGAGACTGTTTTTGTTTGTTTGTTGTTTTTGTTTTAGATGTATTTATGTTATTTTATGTGTTTAAGTTTTTTGCTTGCATGCATGAGAGTTTTATATTTACTACATGGGAGTGTGGTGCCCATGGAGGTCAGAAGATATTATCACATCCCCTGGAGCTGGAATTAAAGATGGTTGTGAACTACCATGTGGGTGTTGGAAACCAAACCTAGGTCCTCTAAAAAGAGCAACAAGGACTCTTAACCACTGAGCTGCCTCTCCAGCTCCATACTTAAAAAAAAAGTGTGTACATGTGTATGCTCACACATCTACATGTGTAGGAGTATGTGTGTTCATGCATGTGTGCACACCTCTGTGTGTGTGTGTGTGTGTAAGCCAAAGGACAACCTTGGCTGTGATGTTCGGGAACACCATCCACTTCCTGTGAGACAGGGTCTTTTATTACACTTGAGCTCACCAGTGAGCCTCAGGGGTCCTCCAGTTTGTGCCTCTCCTGTGATGGAAATCAAAGTCAGGACCTCCAATGCTTCATTAATAGTTACCTCTCCAGCCTCAAGCTCTGTTTTTATGTCTGGAACCTAAGTCTTTCCCTTATACCACAAAAAGTAATATAGTAGGGTCAGAAGTCCTCCAATCCTTTCCTGTTCCGGGAGTTTAACAAGAGCTCAGGGTCTTTTGTGATACAGACCCAGACCACTTTGTATTTAAGCCAGAGAAAGTAAACACATCTAGAGCAGTGATTCCCAACATTGCTAATGCCACTACCCTCTCCTCATGCTGTGGTGACCCCCAGCCACACAATTATTTTCATCGTTACTTCATAACTGTAAATCTGCTACTGTTATAAACTGTAATGTAAATCTCTGATATGCAGGGTATCTGATATGCAACCCTGTGAAAGGGTCATCCACCCCCCAAAGAGTCACAGACCACAAATTGAGAACCACTGATCGGTATATTTAAAGAAGTAACATGGAAAACCAGAATGGCATCCAAAGGGGCCTGGAGTAGATATGAGATGTTTAAGACCTATGCTCGTCAGGGTTTTCTGTTTGTTGTTTGTTAAGTTGACACAAGTTAGAGTTAACTGAGAACAGGGAACCTCAATTTAGAAAATGCCTCTATCACTGGCATTTTCTAGATTAATGATTGATGTGGGAAGGCCCAGCCCACTGGGCCCATGGTCCTGGGTGAATATAAAAATGCAAGCTAAGCAAGCCTGGGGGAGTAAGCCAATAAGCAGCATTCCTACATGGCCTCTACTTCAGCTTGTCCTTCCAGGATTCTGCCCTGGATTACTTCAATAAGGGACTGTAACCTATAAGACAGTAAACACTTTCTTCCCCCATTGCTTTTGGTCATGGTGTTTGTTAGATGGACACCACAGCAACAGAAAGCAAACTAGGACAGGGTGTGTCTTAAATGGTGCTCTATTGCTGTGAAGACACCATGACGTTAGGCAGACTTTTCCTTCCCGCCTGTCAGTTCCCTTAATTTTGTTACACTGTATGTGTGTTTCTACTCTTGTTTGTGGTATCATGTTTATGCAGCTCATTTAAAAATGTAATATATAATTAAGGAATTCAGATTAATAGCCATCTATAGTAGTCAAACTTACAGTCAAGTTAGGTATGGTTTCAAGGTTGTAAACGATATATTTAGATAGATGATCTTTAAACTCTTCAAACACCTACAGAATATGTAGACATTTAATATGTTTAATTACCTAAGGCTTTTCATGACAGTAAGACGTGTCTGCTCCTGGCAGCACCAATCTACTTCAGAGAAGATGATGGGCATTGAAGAAACTCTGTATGGAGCTTGTTTTCTTTATGACAAAAGCTCATTATTTGGGCAAAGCTTCAATTGTGGACAGTTACTCTCCAAGCTGGACCAGGAGGATACAAAAAAGACAAGGCAGGACAGTCCTTCAGAATTCCCTGCTTCTTAGAAATGTCTGTCAGATAAGCGAGGCCTCTGGTCTATGATGGATGCCCCAGTGTTACAAAAGAGCCCAGGGTGACTCTCCAGGCAACCAGATGTCCCTATCACCCTTCTGGGGTCTTTGATGGAGTTAAGACTAGATAGTCATTGTTAATGTTTTCCTTAGTTATGATAAAAGGTAGATTAGGTATAGTATTTTAGAGTCACAAAGATAAGATAAATAATATTTTCTCTAAATTTGTCAAATACAAATGGACTGGATGTTGTAACTGTAATTCTTACTGAATAACTGTTTTTGTTGTATATAATCTTACTATGTTAAAGTTAAAATGTTCCTTTTTAATTAGACAAAAAAGGGGAACTGTGGAATACTCCTTTATACTGTGTGAATATAAGTTGCTGTGATTGGTTTAATACAGAAGCTGGACAGGGTAAATTTAGGTGTGGAAACCAGACTAAGGACACTAGGAAGAAGGGCGGAGCCTGAGAGGGACATGCTGGAGAACAGGTAAAGCCACAAGCCTCATGGCAATACACAGATTAACAGAAATGGGTTAATTTAAGTTGTAAGAACTAGTTAGTAATAAGCCTGAGCTATTAGCTGAGCATTTGTAATTTATGTTAAGTCTCTGTGTCTGTCATTTGGGAACTGGTGGTCTGGAAAGAAAAGTTCAATTACACGTGACCTTGGGCATCTCTTTTGTAAGAAAGAATTTAATTAAGGCTGGCTTATAGTTGCAGAGCATGAGGAGCATGGGGAGCATGAGGAGCATGGGGAGCATGGGGAACATGAGGAGTATGGGGAGCATGAGGAGCATGGGGAGCATGGAGAGCATGGGGAGCATGGGGAGCATGGGGAGCATGGGGAGCATGAGGAGCATGGAGAGCATGGGGAGCATGAGGAGTATGGAGAGCATGGGGAACATGAGGAGCATGAGGAGCATGGGGAGCATGAGGAGCATGGGGAGCATGGGGAGCATGGGGAACATGAGGAGTATGGGGAGCATGAGGAGCATGGGGAGCATGAGGAGCATGGGGAGCATGGGGAACATGAGGAGCATGAGGAGTATTGGGAGCATGGAGAGCATGGGGAGCATGAGGAGCATGGGGAGCATGGGGAGCATGGGGAACATGAGGAGCATGAGGAGTATGGGGAGCATGGAGAGCATGGGGAGCATGGGGAGCATGAGGAGTATGGGGAGCATGAGGAGCATGGGGAGCATGAGGAGCATGGGGAGCATGGGGAGCATGAGGAGCATGGGGAGCATGGGGAGCATGAGGAGCATGGGGAACATGAGGAGCATGAGGAGCATGGGGAGCATGAGGAGCATGAGGAGCATGGGGAGCATGGGGAGCATGAGGAGCATGGGGAACATGGGGAGCATGAGGAGCATGGGGAGCATGAGGAGCATGGGGAGCATGGGGAGCATGAGGAGCATGGGGAGCATGAGGAGCATGGGGAGCATGGGGAGCATGGGGAGCATGGGGAACATGGGGAACATGAGGAGCATGGGGAGCATGAGGAGCATGGGGAACATGGGGAGCATGGGGAGCATGAGGAGCATGGGGAGTACGGGGAGCATGGGGAACATGGGGAGCATGAGAAACATGGGGAGCACGGGGAACATGGGGAGCATGGGGAACATGGGGAGCATGAGGAGCATGGGGAACATGGGGATCATGAGGAGCATGGGGAGCATGAGAAGCATGGGGAGCATGTCATCATGCAGACTGACATGGTGCTGGAAAAGTTGCTGACAGGCAGCAGGAATAGAGAAACACTGGGACTGACTTGGGCTTTTTGAAACCTCAAAGACCATCCCCAGTGGCACACTTCTTCCAAGGCCAGAGCTCCTAATCCTTTCAAATAGTTCCACTCACTGGCGACCAAGTTTTCAAATCTGTGGTGGCCATTCTCATCCCACCCCCTGGCCACCATAACGTAATACAGAATAGAGTTAGTCCAACTTGAAAAGCCCCAGAGTCTATCAGTCTCAACACTGTTTAAAAGCCCAAAGTCTCTTCTGAGACTAAAGGCAATCTCTTAACTGTAATCCCCATGTAAAATCAAATCAAAAAGCAGATCACATACTTCCAACATACAATGGCACAGGACATATGTTACCCTTCCAAAATGGAGGAAAGGGAACATAATGAGGAAATACGGGACTAAAGGAAGACCAAAACCAGCAGGACAAACTCCAAACTCTGCATCTCCGTGTCTGATGTCGACGTGCTCTTCAGATCTTTAACTCTTCAGCTTTGTTGGCTGCAAAACACTTCTCTCTTGGGCTGGTTCCCACAGCTCCTGCATCTCCAACATCTTGGAGTTCCAAGACGATACAGACTACAACTTCACAGCTTCATTCAATGGCTGATCTGGGCCTTCATGCAGGGACATCCCTAACATCTGGCCTCAGCAGCTTTACTTAGCAAGGAGGGGGATTCTACAACTTCTTCAACCCCCCCTTCCTTTCTTTCTATTCTTTTTCTTTTTTTCCCCCCCTTTTCTTTTCTTTTTTCGAGACAGGGTTTCTCAGTGGTTTTGGAGGCTGCCCTGGAACTTGCTCTACAGACCAGGCTGGCCTTGAACTCACAGAGATCCATCTGCTTCTGCCTCCTGAGTGCTTGGATTAAAGGGGTGCACCACCAATGCCTGGGTCACAACTTCTTTCTTGTATCCTTGACTCAAAAGCAAGAACCTCAGTGCTGAAGTTGCCAAGGTCTACTGTTTGCTAGGACTAGAATATGGCCTCTTCGTTCAATTACATGTATACCAGCTTTCTGTAGCGGATGGTTTCCTTCACTGCTTAAGATTTTTTAAACCCTTTCCACAAACTGGAAGTTCAGCTTAGTGGGGTTTTGCCCTGAGGCAGCCACTCTTTTCATTCCCTTTAGCATCAGGATTTTCCTTAAACGTTTTATCTCTCAGCACGTTGGACTTAGCTCCACTACACTTCCTGGTGCTCCTTTTCTCCTCAAACTGTGCATTTTGTATTTTTCCTTGCTCAGCTCGCTCCTTTTCATTACAGGTCTGCATAAGAGTGATTACTAATCATCTTGACACAATCAACACTGGGCTGTCTTGAATCTCCTCTGCCCATGTCGTGGATCCCAAACTCTTCAGCTTAGCCTCAGGCAGATTTTTTGGACAAGGGTAGAAAGCAGCCACATTCTTTGCTAAAGCATCACAAGAGTGATCTTTCAGCCCCATTCTAATGTCTTTTCCTTCTGAAACCTCTTGAGCTGGGCCATCATTGCTCTCAGCACCACCGTCTTCCATGCTCCAACTGCTATCGCCCATTAAGCACCACTTACAGTGTTCAACTGCTTTCCTATTCCAAAAGCTCCAAGTCTACACTCTGCCGACAGGTAGCATGGTCAACCTGTCACAGCAACACCCCAATCCTGGTACCAACAGGATCTAAACAAGGAGAATGGAGAAAGTGTTGGAGTGCAACTGATACATCTTTATGAATGCTAAAGACTGGGATTCCTCCAGACACTGGCACCATTTGCTGAGCATCCTGTAAAAGCAGCGCCTTGAGGGGCCTTAACATTTATTCATGTTAAAATCAAATACTTCTTTCCCATTGGAGGTTCTTCCTGGAAGGTGAAACTCAAGTAAGAAACTGTCTTTCTGAAAATATGGTAATTTATTCAGGCGTTTCCAGCAAGCATGAGCAAAGTGCAGGGTGAGGGAAGGAAGGCAACACAAATGCTTTAGTGAAACTATTTCTGAGCAATTGGAGCCCTAACCCACTTAGGACCTTTTGCAAAGTTTTAACAAAATCTCTGGATTGTCCTGATGAGCAGCCGGAAGAGGCACTCAGACATCAGATCCCATCAGTCATTGTTTGAGTGCTATCTCAGGCATTGATACCCCCACAGGTCAGGTTTATTCACATGAGTCCTGAGTGGCTGTCCACTTCTGCAATGCCACTGTAGAAACAATAATGAACACCAGATGTGGCCTGGTTCTGAGGCAACAGTCTGTCAAGGTGAGGGGCCAACTTCATCCATAATCTCTTACCTTGAGGGGCCTCCTGACTTGTAGTCACCCCACATGCCCACTGCTGCAATTGGGTTTATATGAAGGCAGAACCTACAACCACACTGTATGATTTCTTTTAATCCTCTCTTGTCCTGCTGCTTAAGTCTTCAATTCTCAACCAACCCCCATTAAACCTTTCATTCCTCCTCGGGAGATTTCTCTTTACACAAGGCAAAAATGTGATTAAACTATTGATATGGGTGTTGCTTGGGCTCCCGATAAGTAGCTCTAGTGGTAATATTTCAGGTGATCAGATTCCAAGAGGAGAAACCTGTAGGTAGATCCAGGAGGGGGCTCAGAAAGCAGTGAGCTCCTACCCTGAAAGGCATCTCAATGGAACCCAAACTAGACTCATGTTTTTTTCCTAAAATCCATCCCAGACCACAAGGCAGGATGGGAACTCTTCTTTTCTTAGGCAGTGTTGCCTGTTAGTTCCCTTCAGCTGCAGACAGCAGCATGTACTACTTCCTGGCTTCCTGTATTGAACGGGCAGGAAGAAGGAAATCCAGAGAACACGACTCTGGCAGCTGCTACTGGGGTCCCAGCCAAGACCCTCAGAGCACGTGACACATCCTGTGCATCTGTGGCAAGATGAATAGGAGCATCCCTTACCATTTAGCTGATATCTGACCAGGCTGAAAAGGGTAAATGTTTGCTCTAAGCACTTGCACTTCCCCTTGGCCCAAGCATCTTGTTTGCCTCTTGCACTGTCCTGGGCAAGTGTGAGCCAGTGCAGGGGGAATAGCAGGAGAGGCTGGACACAGTATCTCATTTCCCGTTCCTCTAGCAGGGAAGACAGAAATGGTTCAGGTTGTGAGATTGTTTTCTTTGCTTTATTGTTATTATTTCTTTTAACTATTATTGAGTTTGTTCCCTGACAATTTCATACACCTATAACATGCATTCTGATTGTTATACCCCTCCCATCCTGCTCTGCTTATTAAGGTTGCTGTAATTGTCCACTCTGGCTTTTCCTGCTCTGTACTTACCTTGAAACAATATCTAAAGGGACATTTTCTCAAAAGGAAGCCCACATTTTGTGGGGGAAATTTAGAAAAAAATGGAATTCTGTTTCATCAGTTTGGGATTAAAGAGAGAAACAGAACCACTTAAAGGTCTTCCTCTCCCTCCCTCCCTCCCTCTCTCTCTCTCTCCCTCCCTCCCTCCCTCTCTCTCTCTCTGTGTGTGTGTGTGTGTGTGTGTGTGTGTGTGTGTGAGAGAGAGAGAGAGAGAGAGAGAGAGAGAGAGAGAGAGAGAGAGAGAGAGCGCTGGATTTGACTTTTCACAGTCCTCTTTCACAGTTGCAGGCCTGGCTGGGAATCTCTGGGAATGAAGCTGTTATATCTGTGTGTAGTGTCTTAGAGAAGACAGTTGGAAAGGCAGATGAAAGAGGAGAAGGTCACTTGTAAGCTCATGAGGACAGGCAGAGGCAGTGTCTGTTTCCATTGTTCCTATTGACTGTGTCAGTGTCCTGCAGGAGCAGCTAGCTCCCCATGCCATGGAACTAAGCATATCTATGGGGAAGCTGATGAGGCTGAGGGAAGATTGGGAAGGTGGAACTGTTGTGGGCTTCATCCTTGCTAGCCCCTCTCCCCACAAAGATGAGCCCTCAGAGGAGTGTTGACAAAATGGTTTCTGTTTCACATCCCTCTTCCAGACCACACACAGCAATCCCCTTTGACCCAGTCAAACTAGTTATACACAAGAATTGGACTGCTGGGAAATTTAGTTGAGCTTAGCTAAATTGACAGTTATTTGTTTTCTTTTTTAAAAAGTCACCTGCTTAAACAAAATTAGTGGTAGATTATTGACAAAATATGAGGTGTTATGATTTGAGCAGTGTTGGAAGTTATTTATTCTGTAGCAGTCCCCATTTTACATGTAAAGGAAACCAAACAGAGACACTGCCAATAGCATGATGGGTTGGGGACTTGGGGGAAGTGTGCAGCCTCAGTACCCTCTTCCTACAGGGAACACATCCTGTGCAGTGTGAGTTACCCAGCCTACCATCAGTCAAAGCAATAAATACCCAAGCGTGACTGTCTTAGTTTGCGTTTCTATTGCTGTGAAGAGATGCCAAGACCATGGCAACTCTTATAAGAAAAACATTTAATTGGGGTGGCTCACTTACAGTTCAGAGGTTCAGTCCATTATCATCATGGCAGGGAGCATGGTGGCATGCAGGCAGATATGGTGCTGGCTACAACTTGATCAGAAGGCAACAGGAAGTGGACTCAGACTTTGGGTGGTTTCTTGAGCACAGGAAATCTCAAATCCCACCCCCACAGTGACACATTTCATCCAGCAAGGCCACACCTACTCCAACAAAGCCACACCTCCTAATAGTGCCACTCCCTATGAGCTTATGGGGGCCAATTACATTCAAACCTCCACAATGACCAAACAGGACACACCATCCTTCTAGTCACAATGACTGATTCATAAATAGGCCACCGTGTCACTCAGAAACTTCTCTAACTTTGTGATGAGAGCAACTGTGACCTTCATCTTCTGGGAGTTGTGAATGCTGAGACTTCTGGTCTTCATCTTGCCCCAGAAAGGAGGCTTACTCCAAAAGACTGAGAGAATCTGATATTTTGAGTCTCTGGATTCAAACTTACCTGAAGATTACTAATCACCCAGGTTGTGTGAACCTATAGCTCTGTTTGCTTAAGTGAGTTTGGGTTGGGAATTTTTTAGTTGCCACCCAAAGGAACCAATAAACAAATTGGTGTTGGAAGACTGTCTTAA